AATCCCTAAAACAGCAGGTCCAAAGGTATTAAACGCTGATGAAAATGGATTGCAGAGCCCTTAATCCCCTGCCAAGCCTCGCTGCAAAGGCACAGCGCGCGCGCGCCCCGCGCAATTAGACACTTGCCATTTAATTTGTCCAACTGGCTTAGAGGAAATTGAAAAGAAAAGCAGAGGGACTGGGGGCGCTTCCCAAGCTGCCCCGCACGGCGCACGGCGCTGGGCCAGGCCTTAGAGACGCCGCCTAGATACCCTGTGCGCGGAGGCCTTGGTGCTAGTGCGCCTGGCCGGGGCGCTCGGCCCCGAGGGGGCCACTTTCCCAGCAGCGCTAGCGGGTCAGGAGTCCCAGTCCCGCCAAACGTGCAAGATTGGGAGAATCACAAGAGGGTGTAAAACCCGTGAGATCTAGCGCACGGATCACGAGCTCGGCAAAAGACCCGAGAATTGCTTTGAGAGGCTCATTTCTATCTGCCGCCGGGGCCTGGAGCCTTTGGGGGCAGCCAGCAAGGCGTCTTCACCTTCAGATCCACGGGACTCGAGGGGCCGCGGCTGTAAGGAGCGCTCTTTGAGCACTCCTGGTCCCATCGCGCCAGTGCCAAGGGCGTCTCAGGCTGCAGAGACAGGCGGGGCCGGGCTGTGATCCCATTGTGTCAATGGGGAAACTGAGTCACGGAGCAGCTGATTGCCTTGGCCAGGAGGCAGTGAGCGGTGTAGCCCACGTCCCACGTTAGCGCCGCAGTCTCCTGGCACGGTGGGCAGAGACTTTCCAGCACGAGGAGACAAAAGAACGGGCATTGGACTAGGCCATGTGCAACCACCGCAGGGGTCTGTAAACGTTCATATTGTCATACGCCGAATAACGCACAGTGCCTAGCGTCACAGGGCTCCGGCCCCTGAGCGGGGCGTGTACGCACTACCGTAATACGCCTAATAACGCACAGCGCCTAGCGTCACGGGGCTCTGGCCCCTGAGCGGGGCGTGTACGCACTACCGTAATACGCCGAATAACGCACAGTGCCTAGGGTCACAGGCCTCCGGCCCCTGAGCGGGGCGTGTACGCACTACCGTAATACGCCGAATAACGCACAGTGCCTAGGGTCACAGGCCTCCGGCCCCTGAGCGGGGCGTGTACGCACTACCGTAATACGCCGAATAACGCACAGCGCCTAGCGTCACAGGGCTCCGGCCCCTGAGCGGGGCGTGTAGGCGCTACCGTAATACATC